AGCTTGGCATTAGAAAAAGTCAGAGTTACCAGTCTTGCATCAGAAACAGGAACACTTTCATATTGCCACTATATCGCAGTTTTTCAGTGCTTTTATCGTCTTCCTAAGTTGGCAGGATAAGCTATTTATTTAATTTTATACTGGGACAAAGTAGAAGAAGAAGAGGTGTCTGGTCAGGCACAATTTAGCTGGATGAAGGAAATACAGTGGTTTCAATTTCAAATTCTGGTGCTAAACCAACTTTCCTTAGCTTAGTGACAGACAGATATATTATCTTGGCCTGTTTTAGCTGAAAAGTACTGTAGAAATCTGTTAAGAAAGTGACAACAAGCATTTAAAGTCTGAAATTCTGAGAATTCATCAGGCTTATAGGCCTTTGAATGTCTACACATTCACATTAAAAGAGTCAGAACTAATTTTCATTCTAAATTATATGAAAAATTTACAAAGAGAATAGGAGTTGAAAGCAATTTCTAGCATTCAGGCTGATAGTCATGCTTTGTTTTTTTTCATCTTTTGTCATCTTTTCTTTCATAAGTGGGTAATACTTATATTTTACTAAAAAAAATCCCTTCCAGACTCAGTCCTGTAGTCAAATGCAAATGCAATGCACAATGCAAATGAAGTGTAATGCAAATGAAGCAAAAGAATTGTAGGTCTGTTTCATGTATTATTTTCTTTTGGCCTTCTGGAACAGAATTCCTGAAGTCAATGACAGAACCCTCTGCAGAGCTCCTTAGCTGGATTTAAAATTTCTGTTCTCAAGCCATGATGAAGTCAATGGAGAGAGGAGACCCTGGTGTGACTTTGGGGCAAGACTGCGACACTGGTGGGACTTGGAGGGGCTCCTCAGGGAGCACTGATTGGTGAGACAAATATTTCCCTGCATGGCTATTGCAGTTGTTTTTTAATGTTGTCAACTGTTTCTCTGTAAAAAAAAAACCACCATCATATTACTAGGTATTATAAGTAGGTACAGAGTAGAAATTAGTCTGAAAACCAGTAATTTTAACATAAATACACCAGAACATGGGAAGAAACAGCTGAAATATGGTTTAGGAGGCTGCTTCCTCTTACCTCTCATCTAGGGGTTGTCAATCCTTTGAAAGCCCAGAAAGTGACTGTGGGAATGTTTATTTAAACTTTCTGGACCAGTGTAAGACTTCAAGTATTTTTCTTGGTTTCCTAATAAGACACAGGGATTTTATTAACTGAATGTAAAATTTATTTTCGTTTGCAAAATCAGCATATGATGGCAGAATTTTATTAATGATAATGGCAGCTTCTCATTCTACTTCGTACTGAGAACACACATTACAGCAAACCAGAGTACAACACAGTTCTTTCAAAGGTGATGAAGACCAAAATTCATTCAAAATGTTAATCCAGCCAGTTTCGTTATAGGCAATAGTGGGTATGTAGGAATGGGCTTGGGAGAGTTATTTAGTGGGAGGATTGCAGAGACAGCTCCTTTATTGACTGTTGCTCTCATGGAACAAAACATAGAAAAGAAGATTTTTGTAAGTAATTTGTAAGGCATGACTGTCTCATTAGAAGGTTTAGTTGTGCTAAAGGCTGGATTATGGAAGAATCCTTATGTTCTGTGATGAATTAAGAAAAAGATTTGCTGTCTTGGACAATGGGAATTCATGCAGTCTAATACTAAGTAGCACCTGTTATGTACTTCTAAGTTACTTGCAGACTGTAAAACACATTACGGAAATCTGTTGGAAAAGAGGCAGATTTCAAGGTCCAAAATATAACAGGTAACAGCTGTTTTGGTCAGATGTTTAAACTAAAATATGCATTTTGCACTGGTTTCTGAGACAACAAAGAAGACCAGAATTCATGACTTAATGAACTTCATATACAGTAATTTTCTTTAAAAAAATTCCTCAGCATGCAGAGCAACATTGCAAATAAACCTTATTCCTATTAACAAGTAATTCTATTTCAGGTGTCTATGAGAGAATCTTGAATTTTAACTCAACTGACCCAAGCACTTCTGTCAGATTTCCAGATTCTCAATGTACCCAGCAAATTAATTAAAATCACTTACAGATGGCTTTTATGGTTTTAATATGCATATTGTATTTTTATAAGCATCTTCTGCTATGTCTAGTACTTCAGTGGGGAAATTGGAACGCAGCCTGTAGGAATGCTTTTCACATTGCTCAGATATTTTTAATTCTTCTCATCAAGATACAGCACTGCTTTTAGCAGTCTGGTAAGACTCATTTTGACCATTCTAATTTAAGCTGCTTGTCTTTAATTGACAAAGCTGTGAACGTGTTCTCCAGGGTTCTCTGTAATTTCAGAGAAACAGGAACTTGAGCATTTTACAGCGAGGCTGTTAGAGAGAGGGGGTGACTTCTCTCAGTTGTGCTTATGGTGCTGTCATTGCTTGTGAAGCTTTTGGATTTCCTCAGCATTTCCAGGGGATGCACAAGCCTGCTGTGCAGTCCATGGAGTGTCTACTGGGTTGTATTGGGACTTTCAAAATACCCTAGAGTCATGGAAATCTTCAGGAATGGTTGTTTCCTGCCACACAGTTTACCAGGCACATGGGACTTAAGGGCATAAGATCCCAGAACTGAAAGAAAATGTGGATATTCACACAGCACCATTGCTAATTTACCCCCTAATGAATAATGAAACATAATTCAGTTGCTAAAGTATTTCTGTATCCTTAGAAAAGGATTACTCTGCTGCATTTAGTGTTTTTGCCTATCACTGACACTTTATTTCAATTGCTGCCCACAAGGTGTCCATCCTTGGCAGTGGGGAATCTTATATCTCTCCAACTTCCCTACAGCACATCCCAAAAATCTTCAATTTAAGCTATCTTACACAGTCACATATTCTTTCTAGACTTGCTAACAGACAGTTAGGTAGGTTTTTTTATTATTACTATTATTTCTTTCAAGATCCTCTATTTATTGATCTGAACTGGGTGAGACAAAGATTGCTACCCTTTCTTTTTCTTTTTAAAAATTCCAATTGTTTTGATTTATGCATTTTCACATTTCAGATTCCTAAACTGACAGGGTACATAGAATTTTCAAAAATAAACAGAAAGGAGTGCTTATCAGAGCCCTGCAGGTTGATCTCTACCCTTTCCTTTGGTAACATTTTTTCAGCACAGTAGCAGCCAGCAGAGTAGATAATGGGGCACTTCTGAACCTGAAAATTAGATGCTCTCTGCCATGACTAAAAAAAAAACAAGAATCCCAGGATGGAAGAATATGAAGAAAGGTGAATGAAGTTAATTTTTATTTGTATTTTTTTAAAAAAACCAGCATAAGGAAAAATAAAGGAATTCAGAACTTATTTGAGAGGTATCTGCATGAAGTTAGGGAACACCACCAACAGACCTACCCATTCAATTACCTGAAAAGAGCAATACAGACCCTTACACTTATTTAATAGGTAGAAAGTTTGGTTGGATTTGCTTATTGGAAATTAGTGATTGGCTAAAAGTAGCAGAGTCTCTTTCTTTCCTTTCATATAATTTCCAAACCAGTTTGTCTGTGCAGGCAAGAAATTATTTTGCATATACATCGGTGAAGGTATTGCAGTGCCTGTGTTGCCATTTCCTTTTTGCAGTGAAAACATTTCTAAATAACAATGGGTGTTGAATATGTGAAGTTTTCAAAGCAGACATCAAAAGAAAAAAAATCTTATGGACAATTTTACAATGCAAATGAACAAAAGTTATTTTATTAAAACATATTGAGGGGTTCTATTTTTTTCACTTCTTTAAATTTTCATTTGTATATATCTGTTAACAAATCAACTGATAAAAAAGAGAAAAAAGAAGAGAAAGATCATTTTGCCTGTATTTTTTATATCAATGCAGAGATGGTTTGTGCACATAAACTAAAATGATGAATGAATTTTCTAGAAAATTTCTGAGTAGTGTCTGCTGACACTGGGCAACAATGCTCCTTTTCTGATTGACAGCTGGAGCACTCCAGCTCTGTCTGTTATAACACAAACATCACACTGAATCTTGCACGAATAGATGTAGTCTCCTTCCCTTTATTAGCTCTCTCATCCCATAAAGTGCAGTCAGGACAGGCATCATTCCTGTCCTTTAGAAAGCAGTAGATTAGTCCATTTCCTCATGGGGCTTTGCAAAGTCCTTCAATAGACGTGACTGGAAGAGGAAGAGGCTGAAGATGGTGGCCTAAGGGAATAAACTGCTGACTTGATAAATCTTTGGGTCTTAAGAGGTCATCTCTTGATGTCTGAAAGAAAGATTGACTTACCAGCAAATATGAGCACCAATCTTTATGGGTTTTTGAGGTTTTGTTTTTTTTCAGTAATATAGAAAACATTAGTATATGAAGTACTTATAAATTTTCTGCAAATACAGAATAGCAGCACTTTCCTTTCTTGGGTCTTATTCAATTCTCATAGATTTATTTATTCTTTTTTACACTGTCTACACGCAGTCCATGAGATGTGCAGAGAATTTTAATGAGTTTTTACACTAACAAATGCAGCTATAAAATGCAACATGGAAAAATCTGAGACTCTGATCTTTTGATACCTGTGACTACTCACAGACCCGGATGAGCTTAAATATATCATTAATAAAGTTTATGAGGGCTCATATCCATTGCCCTGAGATGAAGAATAAATTATAGCTAGGAGAAGATTAAATTTACTTAATTTTCTTTTTCCAGAGTATTTCTTAACTTGTAAAGCTATACTTAGTTTAATAAAAGGTAACCTATATATTTTTGATAGGGGATTTTTCACAAGTGTGTAACACTTATAACTACTTGAAACTGATAGATTCTAAAAACTCAAAGCCAGACCCTTACATATGGAAACTGATGGGGTGCATAAGGAATTAAAGGAACAATGTGTGTTTGAAAATAATTTTTTTTTGTTATTTTAATACATAGGTAGGACATGCAGACAAAAGAGTGTAATCTGCTTATTTTCAGACTGTAATTTAATAAGGATTCTTTCCCAAGACAACCAGACCATCCTTTTGTGGAGTTTGAGAGTGTGGGTGAGAACACTGTGTTTCAAAGGAGGGACACCTCAGTGGACCTGCTGAACTCATTTCTTAGCTGACACAAAATCTGGGGGTAGGTTATGCTTTCTAGATATCTTTTGTTTCTTTAACGTGCTGCTGGCAAATTTCCTGCTGTTCCTCAGTACCCAGAATCCACAAAAACCCAGGGGTACTTCTGGGTATTTGATGAGTGCAGAAGGCTGTCTAGACTTTGGGAGGAATCTAAAGGTAACTTGGATCCTTAGAGGGAAATAACAAAAGGCATCTCTGTCACAGGACATACTCAAACTCTCATAATCTGTAACTGCACAGGGATTTACGATCCATGGAATTTCCAGGTAATTTTTGAGCTGATTTCGATTTCAATTTGAACAAATAGGGGAGAAACACAAATGTTGCATGTGTACACTGTAAGGTTTTAAAAGCATGACAAATCTGTGAACAGAATTGGTGATCTACCTTTGTAGAAAGATTTTTCCTAATTCTTTATTGTTAGGGTTTTACATTGTGAAGTGGATTGATATTTTTTAAAATAACAGCTGGCATAACAAACAATTCTATTCAGTTCTGTTTTGCTTTGATGTGGTTTTTTTTTAACATTTCTCTCCTGAGAGCTCTATAATATAAGTCCAGATTACTGCTGTCCTCCTCTGACAGGATGTGGGAGAAGTATTGATCTATCATGGGAGCATGGGATGAAGTGACAACAGCAGTGACTTTTATTTGCTCATTTCACAGAGAAATACCAGAAGGCAGTGTTAGCCAACCTCCATGTTTAAGAATGAAGAAGATGCTTGAAGAACAAAAAATGTACTTGGTTATTCCTCCATTATAACTGGAGCAAGGGTATGTTGGCATTAAAAGTCGCCTTACTGAGAATAAAAACACTCTAATTTATTACAGCTTTATATGCACCAGGATTGAGGGAAGAATTTGGGGCCTGCTGCACAACCAAACCCAACAGTGACAGAGATGTTTTATTCACCTTTCCCACCACCTGACAGAGGTCACAAAACATTGCAAATTGTTTGAGATTATGTACATGGTAAAATAAAGAAAATCATAAGCATAGCTATAGAGACTAAGGTGTTGCTTTTTTTTTTCATAGGGAAAGGCAGAAATTTAAATAAAAATGAAGAGAGAGGTGTGTTGAGGGCATCAATGGAAATCAGCATTGAATAAAAACACTTGTCTCTACAAATCTTTTGGCAGAACACAGACTCATGCTGGGTTTTTTTTAGAAGAAAAGTAGCAAAATTAATTTTTAATTGGAATGTATACGATTCACAAGTACAATCTGTATTTTTTGCTCAATAGTACATTGTGTTTTGCCTATACTGCCAAAGAAATTAAACAAGAATAATGTCCCCAAAGACAAACTGTTATGTTTAGGAGAGCAGAGGTACAGAAGGGGAAAAAAAGCCCTGTTAGTATTCTGCAGGTATAGCTGAATTCTAGCCCTTACATGAGGAGAGCAATTGCTCTGATGCACAGAGACATTGACTTCCACATTTTATTTTACACTGAGTTGTGCCATGCCCTGTTTGGCTCCAGCTCTGCAGTGCTCTGCATATGTCTGGATTGCTGCATTCATACAGACTGCAGTGGAACCAGCCAGCTCAGAAAAAATTCTAAAACTGGGGCAAAAGTGAAGAACATTAAATTGGAGGATAAGCATGATAACATGGGTTTTTTTTTTTTTGTCAAAGGCAAATCCACAAAATGTTGCTGGCTGCAGCATCACAGGCTGGGATTAAGACACAAAAGCACACTATGGCACAGGAGCACTGCATGTACTGCATGGTTTTCTATATTTTTGTCCTGCTTTCTTTGCAAAAATATTTTTGGCTGTAAAATATGTTGCTCACACTTTCCTGGGGAACACTTCTAAAAGGGAAGGAGAGATTCTTACCACAGCTTTTTATTATTTTTTACAAAGAAGTAAAAAATCCATTTTGCTAGACAATATAAAGCATCTTAACTATCAGCCATCAATAAGTAATAACATACCTAATATGTTATGAAAATTAGGGAAATTTTGTGACTGTATTCTGTTTAATCCTAATTAAATCCCTAATTACCGTTTATTCTCTCTTTGTAGGTCTGTTACCATCTCCATGACTGATTTTAGTTGCTGATCTGGTCTTCAGACTTAGTAGTCTTCTCTCTTTAAGTAAATTGAACTGAGCTTTTAATTATATAAAGGCACAACAAAGAAAGAGGAAAAAGGAAAAAAGATTATTCTCCAGAAACCTCTGAAGATTTTGTTCTCCATATTTAACATCTAAAATTTTTTGTTATTATAATTTTTTTTGATAACAGAGTAGCCGTGTCATTAAAATGACATTGCATTAGGTAGATGCATACAACTACAGACTAGAAATATTCTTAAATTGAAGAATATAATTTGAAAATTATAGTCTAAATTAAACAAAGCATGATTAGTCATTCACTTGCCTGCCGACCTCTTAATGACTGTGCTGATAATTATCAGTGCAGAGTCACTCCCTTCTTTGTAGCCTCAGAGCTTGACAAGAAAATGTGGATGTTTTCAATTGATACACACAGGAGGAAAAAAGAGAAAAAGAGGAAAGGAAGGGCTGTATAAAAATGTGGGAACAATGAAGCAAACGGTTTTGTCTGATAATTCTGGTCACTAATTTCCAAACTGAAGAGCAAGTAGCAAATCCTAATATCCACCAATGGATTTTTTAGGTAGTATGTCTTAGGAGACACTATAAAAACAAAGATCCACTAATAAGTTTGTGAGGTTTTCTTTCAAATTCTAATATTTTCTTAGGTCTCTGAATAGCAGGAAAATGTAATCTCAGTTTAGAAAACCTGCAACAAAAAATGATGACAAAGGATGAAAAATAATAGCAGTTTTCAGCACCCTCACTTATAGAATGGTTTTGCATATGACTACTTTGCATTCTTTGTTTGAAAGGTGATAGAATTTAATTCTGTTCTTTTTGTGGAGAGTGTATGAAAAATTTATTTTAAGGGAGACCTTTAGGAAGCTTTACTTTAATGCTGTTAAAACTTTAACTTTGTGAAACAGCCTGGAATGTTAATCTTGAAATTTGCTTCAGGAAAGTGCAACATTTTCTGAGACTAGCCTCAAAGTAGGAAAAAATTGATTCTGCAATGATTCCCTTTTACTACTACTTTGTTTCTGATATACTAAATGGTTGATGTAATCATTCAATCTGATGTTGTTGCAAGAGAAGGAAAATTGATCAATATATCATTATTGATCAGTTGCTTTCTGATTGGCTTAGCAAATCTGAGTGTTATTTCTAGCCTCACACAGCCAATGTAGCCTATCCAGAGCTAATCTAAATAAATGTTTGTCTCTTCTAATGCACAAGGTTACAAAATAAATAGATTATAGATAAAGGAGCTGAACAATAGCATAATTCCATATATACATACATGAAAGCATGCAATATGTTCTTAAAATTTGGCATGAAATTAAAATCACACAAATCTCAACATGAAATAAGGGTACTTTGCTTAGTCACAGTCACAAGAGTGCAATAACCTCTCCATTCAGTTAAATTTATACAAAGCCTTTTAAAATTAGAGTTTCTAGGAACCAAGTACTATAACCATGAGTATTTTGGTATTTTCCAATTAAGTTCATGTAGATGTTTTACTAATTAAGTTCTCTAACACAGATTGAAATACTTTGCAGTATTATGAAAAGGCACATTGCAGCTGGTGCATTTAACATAGTCCAATGAAATAATATTGGGCCCATAGTCCAGCGCTTTACCTATTTTTGATACATTCTTTTCATAGTTTGTGAATCACATTGAATAAATGTTTATGATTATGTGAGTGCATGCTCTCTTACCTCAGGACCCTTATTTTCTCCTTGCACATGGAGCAGTGCAAAAGATCATTTTCCCTGTTTTGGGGGTTTTTTGTTGCTTTCCCCACCCCGGCTCCCCAAGTTTAGTAAAATGGTTTTTAATACCCAGTTAATTAAGAAACTAATCAGCATGCCATGATAAATACATCAGCTCAGAGTGCTTTTAACATCCAACTTCAAACCTCTAGAGCTTAAAGTGCTGAAAATCTAGTTATTTTATCAATTGCATGTCTTTCCCAGCCTGGCTCTGTGTGGAATGACATCTGATTAAGAAACTGTGTCACAGCACAACTCTGTTTCTCATTGGGTTTTTTAGTATATATCCAGGGGCACAGAAATGTGTGGGAAGAAGGGTCAGCAACATTTGTGTAGCTCAGCCTGAGAGGTCAGATTATACCAGCCCAACTTAGATATAATGTGTTTGAACTAATGTAATTACCACATTATCCCATTATGTCAACAAAAAGAGGTGTCAGAAGCTTATTATCTTGCTGCTCCAGTGTTACCCTCCTTCATCTCATTTTCTTTTCCTCAGTAAAGTCTTTTAAAGAGAAATAAATTGATTATCAATTTTTTAGTTGCATGCGGCTTGGGTTTTAGTCAGTGTGAGTTGATTTTTATGCTAGAAATTACTTTGGAATGAGAATGGAGACTTAAAGGCTGTATGCTAAGGACTGATCTTTTTTGGCCTCAGGCACAGCTGAGAATTATTGTGTGCAGAGCAGATTGTAGCAAAACCAGATTGTTTAGGCCAATCCAAAGAAGCAATTTATAGTCATTTTGTGAGTTCGTGGTCTCTTGATCACAGACATCATAACCTGCTGAGATACTCCAATATTCTTCTTTAAGAAAAGCCAATGAAAGACGAAGTTATGCTTCAATGCATGCACCAGGAGCTTCCCAAAACCTGGTTTCCTCAGGCAGATGAATAACTGCTCTTGGAAACCTGATGGCCTGGGTCACACACATATTTTGAGGAGGGGAGATGAGCTAATAGAATCAGTCAGTGTTCAGTACTCAATATTCAAAAATCTTTAAGTGACAAGCAGCAGAGTGAAGGAGCTGACAGTTGCTGTTTCAAACCTGAGGATTGATTCCTCTCCTTGGTTCTTTGTCTCAAAATCCTCCCAACAGCCTTTCACCTCATCTTCCTGCTGATGGGTGTTATTTCCTCTAGCTTATTCACTGACTTATGTTATGGAACATAAAGTTATTTTTGTTTTTATGAGTGCTCTGTTTTCTGGGGCCAGATGTTCTCCCTGGCTTTGGAACCTCATGGCCCTTGTTGGACTATGAAAAAGTGGCCAGATGTTACATAAGGACATTTCCATTCTTTCAGTCTATAAGTTCATGAGATGAGAGAGCTCACCCAATATTCCTTCTCCTCCTGCTAGTTTATGTTTTCAGAGAGGTGTAAATGATGTTGCACTATCCCCTGATTAGGCCATAGATTTTCTGGATTCTGTTGTGAAAAACACTGTCATGACCAGTCCGGGTGGGTTCAGACAGGAACATCCTCTACAGTTTCTTTCCTAGCAGAGGAAGGGATTTGGAGAGCTGGGATTTGAGGGCCTGGCCAAACAGTGGTGATATGAGAAGAGAAATTTTCATAACAATAAGTGAACACCTATCTCTCTGTTAACATGAATTCTCCCCATTTTCCTCTCTTTCTCTATTAAATTTAGGGATTCATGTGCAGCTGTGAGTGGAAAGAATAACAGAGAAGGAAACTCACTGTAAAACAGGCTGAAAAGAGCATAAAATATAGTTAGAAAAAAAACTAGCTAAGAGAAAAGGGAGGGGCATCTTTAATACACTTGTGTATATTTAAAAAATATTCCAGCCAGTTGAATGCAGGTAAACCTCAGGAAATTATAAAAAGCCTGGGATACATCTGTGCTTTGTGAAGTAACATAAGGGACAGGCAGCCTGTTCCTAGCTATTGTCTGCTTATTAGTGGGCCTGAGGATAAAAAGAGGTTGCAGCTTTCTAATCTTCTTTTTCCAGTTTCAGGAATCTGGAATTCTGGACTTGAGCTCTATAGCCAAGTGGGACTTCCCTGCAAGCTCAAATTATTAAATTTATTGATGATAATTTAAATTATTAATTAAATGGATTTTGTTGCTTCATAATTTTCTTTCTGACTCCTGATCTTCTAGCATGTATCAAGCTCATTTTTACAAAAGGAAAAGAACTTCAAATCCAAGACTTTGCTGATTGCAAACTCTAAACTTCTGAATCTTCATTAATAGTATAAAAAAATCACTGTGAGATTCACAGTAAAATCAGAGAAGATTCCTTATTATTCTTTATATACAGTTAAGAGGAAGGTATGTCAGTGATAATGAAAACAGAGAGATGACCAGGTGAATTTAGAGCAAAACAGCTTTTTGTCACCTTAGTAGAGATGAAAACTGCCCAAGGGACCACTGAAAACACAACTGGCCACCAGTTGCCATGCACCAGCATATTGGAGGTCACAACAGTTTCCTACATAATAATTTCTTCTTTATTCATGCACTCTATTGCTGAAATCACAAAGAAACTTAAACATAAATTGTGGGGTTGATACATGTAATAATTGACATAAACGATAAGCCAGACATGTTCTGTATTACATCATTTTTTGGAAAAAATACATTCTTGGACATTTCCAGTTGTCCAGCTGTGGAGGCTGCACCATTTTAAAGGGGTACAGCTGGGGCCAGGTTCTCCCTGCCACCTTCTGACATATAAAAGGAATTATTTTGGTGCTGCCTGTCTTCAAATGTGACTTAACCCTAGGAGCTGTTGTTTAAATTTCAATTTAAAGTTGCCACAATTAATTAGAACAAAATAGAAGGGATGGAGGCAATGGAGGCAGATGTTTGGGTTGGATATGGACTGGGTGATTTTACTGGGCACCAGGCATTGCTGTGGGGGTCTGATCAATAGCAACAACAATGAAACTGAAAGATGATGTGGGAGCAGGGGGACAAACTTTACAGCATACATATTTTGTACCAGGCACTAGGCATGACCAAACCTGAACGTATCTTCTTTGTAATTCTCACTTTAATAAAAATCTGTTCTTTAGAGAAAGTAAATAACAGAGAGGCTTATTTTATATAACAATGAATAATGAATAACTATCTGTTGAATTCAAGACCAGTTTTTCTCCAATTTGAATTACTGCAGCAATGTGGAATTAGCTTATTTAAAATCATGACACTACATTGAGAACCATGTGAGTGGGATTCTAATGAGATGGTTTAGGATCAAAAATTTAAAGCAAAAAGAAATCTTAGGTTGAGTTAAAAAAAATCTATTTTTTGGCTTCCACTTTGAGTTAGGTAAAATCTTTGGATTTTTCAGATTTCTTATACAAAAAATAGCCACATTTGATTTCAAAATATGAAATCAACTTATTTCCTATATAGCTAAAATATTTTGCTTTTTGTAGGAATTTTTTCTTTTTTTTTTTCAAAACTATTTTCTAGATTGCCATTCACTTATGCTAAATGTTTTTACTTTAATGCCAAGTGAGAACTAAAAATCCCCTAAATTTCAGCTGAGTTGTTAATTTTTAAACTTCACAAATTCAAATTATTCTGAATTTGGGTGAAGCTGTGGCAGATTGCAGAAGCTTGTCAACCACATTTTAAAAGTATTCTGAGTTTGGAAGTAGGTGGTGAAAATAATTTTACAA